TTCAGCAGGTGCCTTTTCTATGATGGTCACCTCTGTCACACCTGGGGATGATTCTGAAAGAGGAAAGAGAGAGTCTGTAGAGTTTCAGTTGGTCCATTCGCACGTATTTCTACACTAGAGGTTGACTAACTCTTGAAGACTGCTCTAGGAACACCAGATCCCTCTGAGGAGCATTTATTACCCCTGTGATAAAAGCAATTGGTCCCTCAAAGGCACTTGGTCCCATAAACTAAGACCGTGTAGTCTTCCTGGTAATAATTATGCCAGTATCCTTTCTATGCATCATAAAGTTTCCCTTAAGTTTTCAGAAGGCTCAAATCTTGGGATGCAGCAATAGTCCAATATACCAGCTAAGAATTCTGGACTCCACCTATCTTAGTCTTGCTTTATGCATTCACTAGTTGTGTAACCTTACATGAGTGCTCACTTCCCTTTGCATTTAGTAAGACAAGAATTACAATAATACTTTCCTTGATAAGCGAAGCAGAGGAAACAGAAATGAAGGTGCTTTGGAAAAGCAAAAAGTACCATATATACAATTTTTTTTCTGTCTTCTGTTCAGTGTTCTTCCTAATATGTTGGGAAGCATGGTACTGTGGTAGAAAACCACTGTGAGCTTCAAGCCATTTGACCTGGGGTGAGTCCTTGCTATCCCCATGATTGGTTAGGACGGAAGACACTGTCTTGTCCCTTCAAGGGTGGTCCTATTTGGCACTGTTCCACGAAAGCCAAGATAGTGACTAATAAATGTCAATTATTCAATTTTACAGCAAGGACACTGAGCCTGAGAGGTAAAGCCACAAAGCCAAGCCTCTGACTCCAAGTATGGGTCTAGTTGAGAAATGAAGAGCATGTGTAGAAGTCACTACATGCCCCTTGGCACAGCCCTTTAAAGCAGTGATCCTACGCAAATGCAGAGTCTAGCTTTAATCAGTCTTAGCAATCTACCGCTCCACCTGCAGTGGGACAGAAGAATATAGAATTCCTTGCCAACAAACCAGCTGGTTACATAGGGATGTCATCTGACTATACTCACAGGGCAATCTAGTGTCTAGGGTTGCAAGAGGACACACAGATAATGTAAGTGCCTGACATTAAGTTTTGCTGAGGCATCCATTTCAAATACATCCATCTTGAATAAACAAATTGCCAGCTGTATGACACAGCTACTAACTAAGTAACTAGGTAAGGAACCAGGCCACCCCCACCCATGAAGTTCCCCTTTCAGAAAGTCCTGGGTAATTGACCACTTGAGTGGTCACCCACCTTTTACCTTTTCATGCCCTAATTCTTGCTCTTATGTTTTAAATTCACCAATAAAGAGTGAACCCACAAAACCCTAGACACCAAGTCCTGGGACCCTAATAAAGACAAAGACCCAGCTCTGCTTGCTCACTTCCAGCTACCTGGCTGTGTGGCCCTGGGCATACCATGTATCCTCCAGGACCTGTGCATAATAAAAAAAATTTTTTCAAAGTTCCCTGACAGTTGTTGCTGAGGTGTATCTTCAATCATAATAAAAACCACAATGGCTGGTCCAGCCACAACATCAGCTCCAGTCAGGGAAATGTCTGTAGAGCTCATCCAGGTAGTACAGACCTAGGTGAGTGCCTCAGGTATTCCTAGCCAATAGCATCACTATCAATAAGCTGAGACAGACACAACACACCATTCTTCAGTTTATAACAGACCTAAGTGGAGGGGCTACAGGCTCCGACAGAACTGCTGTGATACACTTCAGATGAGAACATTTCACTTTCAACCTTTGAACACCTCTGGGATAGGACAACTGGTCAACATACTGACTTTAAGAACTTTCATATAACAAGTTGCTTAGGAAGTACCCACTGCAGAGACTCTGCTACCCAATACTTCAGCACTGATAAGGAGGAGGTGCTGGGGATGAGGAAGAGAGGGACGCACAATAAATTCCATTTGTATAATGCTCTACTTCTGGGAACTGGTATAAGTTATCTCATTAACTCTTTCAACAATCGTGTGAAGCAGGCATTATGACTTTATTTTAAAGATAAGGAAACAGGCTCAGCAATACTAAATAATCTCACAGAACTAAATCTCTGACCACAGCCTCAGATACCAAGCCTAATGCTTTTGCTACCATGTTGCCTTAGTAGCTCATTCCAACATGAAGGGAAGTTTTCCCCTCACCACCAAGCAATTCTCAGACACCAGCTGGGTGTCCTACAATTCAACACAATCCTGACGCTATCCACCAGGAGAAGGCATCAGATCCCACAGGTTAGGAGCTCAGTCCCACAAAACTGCCCTTACTTCAGATGCTAATTGCAGGTCCAGAGTGTTACCTGTGCTTCTGACAGACTGGCTATAAATCAGGGGTCCCTATGATCCCCTCCTTGGGTTTGATTAGTTTGCTAGAGAAGTCAGGAAACCCCTTTACTCACCAGGTTGCTGGTTTATTATAAAGGATATTACAGATCAACAGAGAGATAAGATACATAGGGCAAGGTCCTGAACAAAGGGGCTTCTGTCCTCGTTGAGTTTGGGGCCTGGCACAGTGGCATGAGGAAGTGTCTGGCTAACCAGTCTGGAAGCTCTCTGCACCCTCTCCTTTTGGTTTTTTATGGAGGCTTCATTACATAGGCATGCTTGATTAAATAACTGGTCTGTTGGCAAATGACTCAACCTCCAGCCTCTCTCCCCTCCCTGGAAATCAGGTGGGGGAGTGAAAGTTCCAACCCTCTAATCCTGGTTGGTTCCCTTGGGAACCAGCCCCATCTTTAGGTTACCCAAGAACTTTCCGAAAGTCACCGAATTAACATAACAAAAGACACTTTCTTCTCTCCTACCACTTAGGAAATTCGAGGGGTTTTTGGAACTCTGCCTGAAACAGGGATGAAGTCTAAATATATGTTTATTATAAATCATAACAGTACAGATAACCAAAACCATCATGAGGATGTTCAGGAAGCAATAGTAATAACAAGTCGTGTTTGGTTTATTAACATGCCACACGAGAAGTAGTGTCTGACTAGATATAGCCATCCCTACTCTCCTGCCTTCGGGACCAATGACGAGCATTCGTGAGCTGCCTGGCTGGAATAACCTGTATGGCAGAGTATGAAATGAAATCCTGAATGAAGATATGAAGGTCAGGTCTTCAGACACGGCACAGTCTGCTCTAGGTAACTATGACATGCCACAGATGAAAACTCTCTGTGGTAGCCTACTCCAAAGTTGGGTGCTCTCACTTCCTCCCTTCACTCCCTGCTCACACCAGTTCCCCAATGAAAGGTGAAGTCTATTTCTCTGCCTCTGTGAAGCGATGTTAACAGGAGTTAGCCTGTGACTGCCCTGACCAATAAAATATGGCGAAGAGACACCATGCAAGTTTTGGACTTCAAGAGGACTGGCAGGTTCCCGTTTCCTCTTTTTGCTCTGGGCCATCACATACTAAATCCAAGCTACTCTTCTGGACAGAGAGGCCATGCTGAGAAGCACGGAGGGGCCAGACATGTGAGTGCAGAAGCCACCTTGGACTTCCAGCCTAGTTGAGCCATCAGATAATTGAGCCCCATCTGCTATCTCATTGCATACACCTGAGAGACTCGAAATGAGAATAGGCCCACCTGGGCTTAGTCAACCCACAGGAGTGGGAGAGACAGTAAACTGCTGTTTCAAACCACTGTTTTGGGGTGGTTTGTTACCCAGGAATAAATAACTGGAACAGACTGCCTAGTAGAAAACAGTCACTGAGTCAATGATCCCTGAGGTACTCCATGAGGACCTGCTGTCACAAACTATGCACAGTTGACATGGGCCTTGAAGGATGACATGGCCATTCCTGAGGATTGGCTTAATTAACACCTACTCCTGCTCCTTCCAGTGTGCTTTCCTGTATTTTAGAGACTGGCTGGCTAAAGACTACATTTCCCAGATTCCACTGCAGGTAGGCACCCACTGGAGGCCAAGCTTTCTGCAGGGAAACTCACCCCCATAAAACCTGGAAGGAGGGAATGAGCAGGTGAGGTAGAGGGGCAAATGGGGAGACTGGCTCTTTTCACAGTCATAGTTGCAAAGGTATTTTGATCTCATGGGGTTGAGAGTTGTGTGGCAGAAGCAGCAGCAATTTCTCAATTCTATAGCTTCCTAACCACACTAGCTGCAGGTACGCCCCACTTAGTATCCCCTTTTCAGTTTGGTTCTCAGCTTAGAATCTGTTCCGCTTAATCTTCCAATGATTTTATGGGCTAATGCCCCTTAATCAAGCCCTTTCTGCCTTAACTAGCTAGAGTGTACTTCTAGCCTTAAACTAGCTATGTATTCTACGGTCTGCCACTAAGAACCCTGATGGACACAGTTTGTATCTGTAGATTCACTTTCAGGACAAGTGAGTTGTGTGCAGGTCAGAGGAAGTGGTCATTTATATGATTTAAAAATTGTGGCCACAGAGCCAGACAAAAAGTGTGAGAGGTTTTGGAATCCAAGATATGACATGAAGGCCTTTAGAGTCAGAAAATAAAACTTAAGACTACATAAGATTATTCAAAGAGAACAAGTTAACAGTTTATTACACAAATCAAAGAATTGGGTAAGGAAAATACATGAAGCCAGGGCCTGAAGGTGAGGCATCTGGAAGGCTGGGGGTGGAGTAGGGTGGACTGCACATAGCCAACCTGAGGTTAATATCTTTAGAAGGACCAGCTTGTAGGGTTCACCTGTAGCTGGTGCCTTGTAATCTGGCCTTTGCATGTGTTGTACATTGATAAGGCTGTTTTGCCCATCTTTGGCTAAACCAATAAACATTTGCTATCCTTTTGGGAGTCTAAAATTTCCATAGTGTCATGGGCAAAGCTCATTAACAATTCCCAGGAAATAAACACAGAATCTGGATAATAAGGTAAAGTCTAATCTTTTTTATTTCCTTTTGCCTTGGTCTAGTTTCACTTCCTTAATAGGGTACTGCGTGCAGAGGCCTTGTACCTGGCACTTCAGACCAGAGTTCCTAGTGCAAAGCAGCTGCACCTGACATTTCAGCTTGACTCCACACCAGGTTCAGGTTTTAGGAAGTTCT